AAAAAAAAAAAAAAAGTAAGAGTAAGGCAGTTTTCTCAACTGTCAGTCCCTGTGAGCCGAACAGTTCCCAGTCACCTGCAGTACCAAACTAGCTTCACCCCGCCGCCACGCGCCCGGCCCGGAAGCCCTTTGAGAAGGGTGAGGCAGGAGGCGGCTGCGTCATCCCTTACGCCGCTGGCGTTGGGTGCGCGGGCGCTACGGCAGCGGAGGAGGAAGAAATGCGGATTGTTGGCAGTTTAAAAAGAAAAAAAAATCAGCTTGCCCTTTCCCTTCTCATCATCTGGGAGGTTTCGCTCTGATGCGCCTCCCGATTTAGTTTTGAGGGATTTTTTTTAACTGATCCAAGTGAAATCTTCCACTGTCGGAAGACACAACTCTTTCTCTTCCCTAAAGAGCTCCAAGTCGGTTAGTGCAGTCAAGAGCCACGCGCGGGAACGGTTTTAGGCCCCATTCTTGACACACCGTTTGCTGGCTGGAGGCCGGGGCGAGGGCCCCAGGCGGTCCGCGACTTCCCGAAGCTCGTCGCCGAGATTTCGGTGTTGGCTGAACAGAGGTGAGGAGACGCAACGCTGCCAAACGTAGTTAAGCGCTGCTGCGAGCCGTCCTTTCTTCACTCCAGGTGTGAGAGAGCAGTGATTTCTCCCGCTACGGAGTACCCGAAGCAGCCACCCATCCTGTTCACGCCGTATTTCTTCTACCCTATATAAATTCTACGGTTTTTTAGCTTTTAACTATTTTTACAATGAACTCCTCTGCTCGCTTGAGGAAAACAACCCCAGCTTTTCTGCAGTGGCACAGCCAGCCGCTGTTTTCCCAACACACCGATTTCTTTGCAGGCTAATAACGCGGGAGTGGCTTTTCCAGAGGCGTTTAGAAATGCCTCAGAGCTAGGGAGTGAAAACTAACGCCCCAAAGGTGGACTGCTAACGTGCCTCGTTGCATGCTTCTACCTGCTGGACCCACCTGCAGCCACGGGCTACCTTTTTTTTTTGGGAAGTCAGAAAGCGTAAAGGGAAAATCCATGGATAGGACTGGGGACAGATGTACTGACACTGTGTAAAAAGGGAGAAAAATCAGGTAAGTAGAAATGTTCTGGGTTTTTGTTTGGTGGTTGGTTTTTTTTTTTTTAATTAGCAGAGTTTAACAATCAAAACTGCTCTGAAACCCCATTTCTTCGGTGACTCTGCAGCAGACGTGCTGTGGTGCGGCAGCTATCGCGACTGAACGAGCCCAGCTGCTGCTGCTCTTTCCTCTTTACCGGTTTGCTTCCGGGCTGGCTGGAAGCGGGTGCACAGCTGCCAGCAGCAGAACGGGAGAGGGGGCAGGGCTCAGGCCAAACGCTGACGCAGGTCCCACCGCCGACAGGCTCAGCAGCAATCTAACAATGCGTTTTCCAGCTGGGATGGTGAGGTGTCCTCTTCAAGTGTGCCGTTTCTCAAACTGTAGTACCATAAACTGCATTCCCAATCTTCCAGAGGTATTTCTGACATGTTAACAGTTGGTTTCTTCTACCTTTTGGCTCGATTCTCAAGATTTTATTGAGGCAGAAAACCCAATCAACTAAACCTGGATTTTTTTTCCCCTCAGTAAAAGACTTCAGGCTTGACCTCTACATCAGTAAAACAGTCACCATCCAGAAAAATCAGACTGCTCAGGTAGAGGCTGGTGCAGCTCGCTTCGATCCTTGTCCTCGCGGTACTGGAATATGTCAGTATTGTGTTAAAAATCCTGCTCCTGAAGAGAAACAGCTCGGGAAAGCCAAGCTCCCTGCAGCCCCGCTTCGCTCTTCCTGTGCCAAGGGGGGGGGCAGTTCTATTCCTCCCGCAGGAATCTGACCAGCGGAACAAAAGCTCGGCAGCCACGGCAGGGCAGCCGCGGTCTCCCCTCTCTCAGAGGTTTCGTCGTCGTCCCAGGGTGGCTCGTCACAAACTACGGTCCCTCAAAGCCCCCGTCAGCGAGTCCTTCCGGCGCGGGCGACTTCGGGGATGCTTTTTCTGCGTGGGTGGTGTGAATCAGAACGGCTCCAGGGCCGGCTCGTGGGAAGAGCCCGCACCAGAGCCTCCAGAGGAGGCCCCTTCCCAGCGCTTCCTCGCATCCAAGTGCCAGCGACGGGGAGAGGCGGCCTCCGCAAGGCGAGTGCCACCAGCCCATCCGGAGCAGGCACCTTCCCTGGCATCCCATGGCTGAAGGCACGTCGCTGCTGCGGCCTGCGTTCCACAGCCGCAGGAGAACAACCCTTTGCAAAGTAAGAAAGCATCTAAAAAAGACACGTAGGGTTAGAAACAGCCCACCTCCTGCTCGCAAACCCTCGAGAACCCCGAGGACAAGGGCGGAGAACGTTCCATGAGGACGATGGATGACCTCATCGGCTGAAGTCTCATAACCAATTTGAAATTCCAGTGTCCTAAGGCACAATTAATTTGATTGATGAAGACTGTAACATTCCCATCCCCACTGCCCGAGGAACAGATGTACGAGTTGACTGCTGAGAGGGAAGAGAAGCAGCACCTGTTTATGTGGACAAACGCTGAAAACAGGGAGGGCGGAGGGGCCGCAGGCGTTGTGGGGCTGCGGTGATGCGGGCGTCGGTTGGAGCCAGCACGGCCCAAGCACCTCACCTGCAGGTACTACGTCTGGGCTTGCGTTTTCAAGGTGAAGAGCCAAATTCACCACAGAGGCTGAGAAGGAAGACAGTTGGAAGATTTGGGGCTTTTGTGGAAAAGCAGGCTAAAACATGGTAATAACCTGTTCCCCAGAGAAACGCCCGCAGTGCTCCACAGCCCTGGCCAGGCACTCGAGAAGAGCAAGGAGGCAAACGGCCGGAAGCTGAGGGATACGCTGGTTTCATTTGGCCTGGAGCAGCAGGGAGCCCTCCCCCCGAACCGTGCCGCCCCGCACAGAGCGACAGTTGTGAGGAGGGCTCCAAGCGACCGCTCGCTGGCTCCCCAGGCTGATTGTGAAGGGAACACCACACACAACACCGCTGTTAGCTGTATTTTGTCCTTTTTGGGTTCGGGTTTTTTTCCGTAACACTCATAAACCTTAAAAATCGAAATATTCTGTTCATAAAACCTTAAGGGGATATTTTAAAGGACCTAAAAGCACGTTTGTTTTGTCCACAGATGGAACACCGGGGTAGCTGAAGACTGAACCTGTAGTGGAGTGTTAGTCAGCTGTAAACTGTAGGAGACGTGTGCATTTGACACCGACGGGATACGCGAGGGACGAGTCCGCGTCATTCCAACTCCGATAAAGTGCACGGCCGTCGGAATTCCTGTCCCCGCTCGTGGAGCCATTTATTGGATACTGCAAAGACATCAAAGGTATTTCATCACTGCACCTGGTTAAGCTCGTGCTTCCGCTTAAGCCGAGTGCGGGCTAGCGGCAGCTTTCCCTCGAGCACAGGGTTATCCTTATTTTTTAGGTGTGTTTTAACACATACACGAAGGGAAAAGCCTTCCAGTAAACTGCAAAACTACAAAATACTATCAAGGTAGATATAGTATTCCATATATTTGTATCTATAATAATACATACTACTGTATATAGTATATTTAACATACAATATGGAGAGATATATGAAGACATAAAGCCATATTTCTTTATAAAGGACCTCATTTCTGGCTGCTTTTTTATCCCACCACGAAGCCCAAAGGAAAAAGCACACCAAGACGACCCGCCACCAAGCCCCAGAGCTCCGGGACGCAGGCGGGGAGGACAAGGTACTCACCCCATTTGTTTCCAACTAGTACTGGGCAGGCGGCGTGCCGCGTGCTGTAGTCTCCCTCTCCGCTTGGAAAGAGGTTGTACCAGAACACAGCTGTTCCCTGGAAAGTGAAGTGGGAACCCTCAGCGATTTGCGCCGCGTGACACGCGCTTTCACACCAACTTACTTCAGGATAAGGCGAAGGGATGTGGATTTGTACTTCACGTGTTTCTTGTGCAGCAAAAGCTCTTTTCCGTATTCTAACATTTGCTCCCCCTAGGAACGCGTCTCCTTTGACTCGTTCTCTGTGTATAGACCTGTTAATTCATTTTTTTTAAACTCTAATTTCATTCAACCAGTTTCAGAAGCAACACAACTTACGAAGGATGAGCGGCAGGCCCGCAGAGACAGACCTCACTCGTGACCCTTCTGAGGGGAAAATCCATAGCAGGAACACACAGATTTCGGGGAGAATTCCCTACGGCGCCTCGAGACTAAACCTCTGTATGGATTTGAGTATTTCCAAAACGCTCTTTGAAGTACTGCAGGGACCTGCAACGTCCCAGCATTACAAGCCCTTCAGTCCAGGCTGTAACTGCGTGTTAACGGGCAGCACCTGACGGCGCCATCACCGTCACGCCGCCGGTCGCTTCACTGAACTGTAAGCACCTCCGTGCTCTAATCTTCTTTATGTAACCCCTTTCAAAGCTGCTTTTTCAGCGTTCAAATACACATCTGTTGTATTTCTGAGTAGGCGGATAGGAGTGGGTAAAAACCCCGCTTACCTTTTTAGGCCAAACACTGGCTCCTACTTCAGGAAAGACAGTAGCTCCCCCTGCTGACACGTCGCTCATCTGGAGAGGAGAAGAGGCACAGGTAAGCTGCAAACTCGTGTCACGTTTTAGTGGGAAAGAATCGGGTTATTGGACAACTTCATTTCCACCTCGCGGTTAGTGAGCAGAGGCTGCGTGACGAACAGCCTGGAGGTTGTCCCAAGCGCAACAGCCAGCCTGGTCCCCGGGTGTTACACCCTCGGAGGATTTGGTGGCGAGCGTGTTACGCACACCCATGCGGAAACAAACGTGCATCCAGCTGTGGAGCCCTCAACATCAGAAGGATATAGACCAGTTGGAGTGAGTCCAGAGGAGTCCACGGAGATGCTCCGAGGGCTGGAGCCCCTCTGCCATGGGGACAGGCTGGGAGAGTTGGGCTTGTTCAGCCTGGAGAAGGGAAGGCTCTGGGGAGACCTTATAGCACCTTCCAGTGCCTGAAGGGGCTACAAGGAAGCTGGGGGGGACTTTTTACAAGGGCCTGTAGTGACCGGATGAGGGGTGACGGGTTTAAATTGAAAGTGGGGAGGTTTAGATGGGATATCAGGAAGAAGTTCTTCCTGGAGAGGGTGGGGAGGCACTGGGACAGGTTGCCCAGAGAAGCTGTGGATGCCCCATCCCTGGGAGTGTCCAAGGCCAGGCTGGATGAGGCTTGGAACAACCTGGTCTAGTGGAAGGTGTCCCTGCCCATGGCAGGGGGTTGGAACTGGATGAGCTTTAAGGTCCCTTCCAACCCAAACCATTCTGTGATTCTATGAAACACAGACAGTCAAATAATTGAAGCTGCTGCTCACCCCCAAGGATAAAACCTCCTTAAAACTACGGGGAAGAACTATTACTTATGGGTAAGAAGACGACCCGTATGTATCACCACGAAGTCAGTGCCGCCTTCGTTTGCAAGTCACTTCCGCTGAACGATTTCATTACTTTTTTTTACTGTACAGAATATGCAGCGATAGATATTTTTGGCACTAGCACGTGGCAGAAATACATCACTTACATAAAACAACCAAGTAGCAATTCTGTTGCCTGTTCCCAATTCCTTAAAAGCATCTGGCTCATCTTTCTGTGAATAAAAGCAAGCAGATTTAATAAGCATTTCATCTGGATTACTGAGGTGGCGATGACCTACAGCTGCAGCGCCGGCAGCAGACAAACGTGCAGAAAAACTAATTCAACCCCTCTGTTCGGAGGGAGGGGCGAATGCCATACATGTATCGGTTAATTTGCGTAAACCAGGCATTTTAAAACCCTGTAGGACAGGGAAGGCATAAGCCCAGATTGCTAATGGGTAAGAACTACTGTACTGTCTGAAAACGAGTGTTTAAATCCTCTTCATGATTTAATGACACTCCCTTTTTCCCTCTTGTCCTTGGCCACAATGAGCCCACTTAGAGCTGGGAAGACGGGAGGAAGCCGAGTGCCCTCGGCAGAGCAGGAGTGTGTAAGAGGCTAACAAACCGGCCAGGAGATCAGTTTGGCTGACCAGGAGAGGCTTTTATCCCTCGACTTCCAAGAACAAAACCCCATTTGGATGGGTTACGATACCAACCTTCTGCCACACCTCCACTTTTACCTCTAGAACCCAGCCCCGGCGTTGTGTGCGCCGAAGTTGGGGCGATCATCGCTCCGGCCACCCACCCCTGTTTCCAAAGACACTGTTAACCGCCCACGGTGCTCTCAGGCACGTGCTTCCAGAGCGGGTGCCGGTTAACGGTCGGCGGCTTGGATTCACAGCGGTAAGGTTAATCTGAAGGTGTTAAATCATACGTAAGGATGCCCAGTAAATAACCAACTGAATTCAGCGGCACTGTTCCCGGCAGTCTGCAATTTAAGCTGGAATAGAAACAGGTTGGGAATTTAAATCCAGTTATAAAAAGGAGGATGGTGAGATGAAAAGACCTCGGTAGGGTCTTTCCAGTTTCAGGACCGCCCGTGCCCTGCGTGCACGTGAACTACAGCACCAGAGCACTTCATTTGCAACGTTCCTCCAGCAGCAGGCAAGATGCCCGTGTCTGGGCCCCGGGGAAAGAAAGAAGGCCTCTCTCACAGCGCAGGCCCGTGCGGTAAGCCGGCACGCGTGTTTTGCTACGCGGCCAACGCAGCCTCTCTCACAGAAAAGGGCTTTAAGCTCTCGCCCGTGCGACCACGTTTGCCTTCCTCGGCAACGCTCTGCCCTGCAGCCGCGGCTCCTGTAGCACCTTAGCCGTCGCCCACCGCGCACGGCCCGAGTGCGGGATGTACGCCAAGCTTTAGCTCTACATCCTTCAGTGATTGTAAGCAAAACGGCTTTAGAGTAAAGCTCAAGCCCTTCACTGTTAAGGGCCATCAGTCATCTCCTCAGATTAATTAGTTTTCAATTAGACTTTTTCTTGTGGCTCTGTACTGCCTGCAGCGTTGCTCCGTTCAGCTGGTGGTTTAGAGGGCTTTCTCCGCTAACGTGGATTAGAAAAGTCAAAGAGCTACTAAAATTTAATACACATTAAAGAATAAAAACTGCGCCCTGGCCCAGGCTTCACCAGGTGACTATCTCTCCTTCATCTCTTTTACTTGCCCGTGCAAAGTCAAAGTGGGGTTCATACTGGCCTCCCACTCCATAATTTGCCACCTGAAAGAGAGAAACACAGTGCTTGTGAAGAAGAAAAGGGGAGAGAAAACAGGACTTACCCTTCCAAAATCAAAATGAGGCTCATACTGGCCTCCTACTCCGTAGTTGGCTACCTACAGTGAAAGGAGAAGCACAAAATCCAGTAAAGCAGTATTTTATCCAGGCAAGAATTTGACTGTCACCTACAACCTTTCACTACACACAGTTTCAAAACCAAGCCATAGGAAGCGACAAGCCTCCGCCTGCCAAACCACGCTGCGTGCGGCACGCTCCTGCGGGTTTAGTCACAGAGCTCTGCCTTCGCAGAGCCAGAACCCAGCTCTGCCTCCACAGCTCCCGACCAGCCACCAGCTCCCAGCAAAGCTGCAGCTGCACCCTCCGTTCCCCGGGGGTCAGCTTTCCTTGGAAGCTCCGCTGTCTGACCCCAGCTGAACACTAAAGGCGTTCTCCCGTTCCCGAGTGCCTGCTGCCCTCTGATCCAATGACTGTCAGGTCACAGAAGGTCACATCAAACTCCTGAAGACCCAGACAGCCCCAGGCTCCACGGCGGCCCAAGATGTTTGGCTAGAGGAGCAGCAGCACATCCAAGAGCAGCACTGCAAGACGCAGCGTACTCTAGGTAAGGAATCCACTACTTCCCCAGGGTAGAAAGTATTTTTCTTCTCTAGAAACTTTCCAGGCTATAATCTCTTCAAAATAGGTCATGGCACTTTCACGTCGCTCAAGTTTAAATCACTTTTTGGTCTCCATAGCAACAAAGAGGATCCGCTGTCCTTTTTTGCTGGCTGATTTTTATTTTTCATTTCTTCTGTGTTTTCATAACCTCAATTTTCAACCAGCTGCTCGGGCATTTTATCATCGGGAGCCTTGGAGGAATAGCACAGCAGCACAAGCGCTTTCAGGAACCGCTTTCTAGGCACTAACCCTTCCTCGGAAGCGGTGAAGCCACCGTTCAAAGCCTCCCGCAAACGACTAAAAGCAAGTATTTCTAAAACAAAGCTTCTTCAGGCTACGCGTACAGACCGTCTTTCCCACGCTACAGAGACGTAAGGATGGGATGACAAATCCGAAGCACCATTCTCTCCCCCTTTCCTGAAGCTAAGCTTTTCACTGCCACCACAGCACCAAAGTTGGACGCTGCAGCAGCAAAACTCCGTTTTATTAGGATAAATAAGGAATAAATAAGGAATATTAGGCTAAATACAAGGAATTACACATCCCCTTCAACAACCATCAGTTGAAGGGCGAGTTGAAGGGTGAGTTTCAGTTCTCACACTTTCCCTCCAGCAACGGAAAGCCGTTTCACCCTACAGCGAGCGCTGCTCCGCAAAGAGGGAAAGTCCCACTCAGGCTTCCCACTTCCTGGAATCAAACCAGCCATGGAATTCCCTGCCCCTGGGGCTGACCGAGCTGTTGCGGGCACCTCCCCACCCACCCGCGCCAGCACGGTGCTGCCCGCAGAGCCACCCGAAACGCAACGCCGGCTTGCCGTTTCCCGTCAGGCCCGTCGTAACGCTCACCTGTAGCTCCTCCGCTGTGGAGACGTCGAGTCCTGTCAGGTCCTGTATCCTTGTGTTAATGCGAGACACCACAGGGCTTTCGTATCCCGACAGCCAAGCACTACGGGGGGGGCGCACACAGAGTAAAATTAATAAAATACGGTCGGAGCAGGCAGTAGGGATCTTCTTTTTAAAGCATCTGCCTCCCAAATCACAGCTTTTCAGCTAAACCCGCTGCATTTACAACAGCTGGCAAACCAGCCAGCAGAGAAAGGGATGGCCAGGGGGATCGCTGCCTGCACCCAGACCCAGGGCGGCATTTCCCACTCCAAGCAGCTGCTCATTCGGGAAAGCCGCATCACTGGGAAGCGGCACCGTTGTCCGGCAGCAGCCCCACCGCCCAGAACGGCGTTTGGCAGGAAGGGGCACCAGCTCAGCGGGTCTCCGCTGGGCCCTTACCAGCTTGGAAGGCGGCCACGTGCTCACCGGGAAACACAGAGGCATTTCACCTCTTTACAAGGTAAACGTTTTGTTCTGTTTGAAAAAGCATCAGCTACACCCACCCACTGCCTCTTTTCCTTTTAACCGCTCAGCTGCTCACCTGCTGTGTGTTTTTCTTGCTGCTGTGCTCACCCCCCACACCTTCAGTTTACCCGCCCCTCTATTCCCTCTCTTGGCATCTGCGCTACCCTCCCCAGCCCTCCAGTCACCCTGGCCGTCCCCTGCTAGGCACTGACGTGGATGATGAGGACTTGGGGCCCACCTTTTCCACCTTCCTGCAGGAAAATGCAGACAGCTAGTTCTACCCCTTTTTTTCTAGCATCTGATTCAGCCTTTTGGGTTCCTGCTGCTTTTACAAGCCAGTCAGATGGAAATACCTATGCCCAGAGCCCAGCTGGCAGGTACATCATAGCATTTCTGCTCAAATACTTCCACATCTGTACTAAATTAAGGTTTTCTTTCAGTTAAGAGATTGTATTTAAAAAAAAAAAAACAAACACACCACCAAAACACTTAGCATGGGAGGAACAGTAGCATGACACGTGACACAAGGCACTGACACAGGTTACAGAAACTCTACGAGCATTTTTTTTTTTGTTTTTTTTTTTTTTGTTTAACTGAG